TTCATCATGTCGAAAGCAGCCGCCGCTTTAGGCCTACTCTCGTGTAAGTAGCGCATGTGCATAGGCACAACAAATTTTTGCATATTTTTTAACGAAAAAACAGTTGAGTAAACAATTGAGCGCTCGTGCAACGGCAATTTAATAAACATGCGTAAACAGGTGCTTATTTACATAAAAGTGCAGATACGCGACCACATGCAACCGCATGCAGATGCAAATTTATACACCTGTTTTTGACGTACATAAATATACATGCATGTATTCTTTAAAGCTTTGGCATATGGTAGGGGGTAAAAAAATTCTCTGATTGTCTAGGAACTAATCTAAAACAGACAAATATTGGGTTAGTATTGCAACTAATGCGTAATTAATCCACTAGCACCCCTTGATGCACAATCTACGTAATGTACCACTTACAGTGTGGTTTTGAATGAACTAATTTGCAAATCAAGGTAGTGGTTTATGCCGACTATGTTAACAAACTTGTATCTGGTCAATTTGCTTCGATAGTGAGCGAAATTATGGATTGCGCTCTAAGGAAAGTAGATGGTTGGGTTACAAACTCTTCGCTTAGCGCGAATCCGAAGAAACAAATAAAACAAAATTTTCCAAATTTATCAAACCTAAATTCAGGGATGCAGAACTTAATCTCCCACAAAGAGTAAAATAACTGCATTAGCTCTGGATCCCAGAATTAATTGGTAGCCTAACACCAAGGTGACGGAGTGGTTTGTCCAACCAATTTGAAATACTTATTTAACCAATTATGTCTTTTGATGAATGATGCCATTAAAAATTTACCATTGAAATGACAGCTCCCATATATGTATAGTGAAAATCAGTTCAGCACTTTACTAAAACATAATAAATATTTGGCGTTTATAGTTTCGCAAAGTGTTTGGTCGAGCTTCTCCTTCAAATTGTGAAAATTTGGCGATCTATAATCTTACGCCATCTCCGAAGGGAAAACCGATTTAATGAGAAGCTTTAGAAACAACTTTAATTTAAAATTAAAATTTTAACTCTAATTTTAGATGCAGCTCGGGCCAGAGGTCGCACCCGGGTCCAACGGAGTGGTGGTACGCACTTTTAACTAGAGCTGATAAGCTAGCGAGAGTGGTTCCGTTCGAGATTTTCGATGTTTGGATAGAAAAAATTCCATACTATTGATAATACCGTGAAGTAATAGGAGCCCGAGGAAAGATTTCACATTGCCTGATTTAAAAATTTGCCCTTAACAGTTTTGAGGCAGCCGAATGCCAGAACATAAAACGTGAAATCTATTTCATTATCTCACCTGTTTATTGCGTCATGAGTATCGTTTAATTTTTTCAGACTTCTATGTTTCTTTTCACATTAATTCAAAAACAAAAATCATTGAACTAAATATTTTGCTTTGCGCGTCAGTACAAGCGATGTGTAACTTATAAAAAAGCTTTATATTATCGATACTAGATAAAAACTATCGATAGTAATGCAAAGAAGTAAAAAATTCGATTAATCCATATTGACATCGATAGTTTGCCAGCTCTACTTCTAACCACTCGGCACAGTGGCGGCTAGGTTCATACTGATGCTGAACCGAATACGATTAACTACATGGATACCATTTCAACGAATATACAAACTAAATTTTTTTATGATTTTGAACTCACAAAACCACAGTGAGTTGCGCAGCTGCTGACACTTCTCACGGCATTGGGTTAGTTGGTTAGTACATTCAGTGCTCAGTAATGGTTTTTGTATGTTTCGAGAAGGCTGCCATGGACGGAAATGCGCTTACCTCACTAATGTACATTCATATATACTTACTGAAATATGTACATATGTATATGTTTTTATTAATGTTGATTAAAGGTAACCCTCAAGGAAAATATGAAAAGTCTATTTGAAAGTAATATCGAAATATTCCTCTTCGCTGCATATGGATTATGGAAACAGAGTGAAAACAGTGTTTCCACTTCACCTATTAAGGAAGATTTGCGGAAGTTTACTGAAGAACTTTTTGGAAAAAAGTTTCACTATGCATTCCATGGACAGGGAGGAGGACATCGTATATTAAATGGAAATGTTTCCATGCTTCCTTGGAAAGTGCACAGCATACACGGAGGAATATTTCCTAGAGGGTACATATGTAGTATATGTATACAAGTATGCTTAAGCAAATATAGTACATGTAAAAATATTTTTTTTTTTTATTTAGTTTGCATGCAAGTACGAGAACGAGAGGGCGTTTGCGGCTTTGAATGGTGGTGGTCAAAGGCTGGTGAAATGTAGAATAGTAATCGAGTGCAGCTGCTGGGCAGTTACTGAGGTCAAGGTGCGTTTATGCAGTTGGTTGTCATTGCAGTGCCCCATAGTAGCATAAAACATATGGATTATTGCCTCCTACATTGTGTTTTTTAATTTTATCAAGAGCATAATAGTGGCCGTAACCGAGTCGAGATAAAACACGAAAATGTTGCAGCATTATGATAATTAATGCAAAACAACAAAAATTTCGCTGTTTGAATTTCAATGCAAATATGTATAAATGTATGTAAGTTTGAATGTATGCATGCGTTAACAAGGCATATACAACTTACACCTGCAATGATAAGTCTTGTTCATTGTGAGCGTTGAATTTGTAGGATTTTGTGATTCATGCAGTCGACTTCGGTCTATTCCTGGCATTTAATTTAAAAACATTTTTGGTTGTGCTAGTACATATCGGTTACAATTAACTTAGTTTGAATGTTTCACATTTGCACTTCAATTTATACTACCTAGCACCGTTAATGAACAAAAGTTCAGAAAATAGTTTTTCTACATAATTTCCAGTTGAATTTCGGAAAGGATTTTGGAAAGTGTAAATTGGATTTTAGAACAGCCAACTGGATTTTGGAAAACGTCAATTGGATTTTAGAATCGTCAATTGGTTTTTAAAAAATTTAAAGTGAATTTTAGAATTCTCTGAATAAATTTTGCCGTAACCAGCTTTTTAATTGCGGTATTTTTCTGTTTAATATTTAACGTAACCTCTTGTTCAATTTTAATATACATTATTTTGTTAAAACCAAATAAAATGTATTTATAAACTGATCTTTCAGCAATATTTAAAATTAATCAGAATAAAGTCTATGTATGTATAGTGTATGAATCATTAAAAAATCCAATTGATGGTTTCTAAAATCCAATTGCCGCTTTCTAACTACAATCGAACTGGAAAGGTTGTAGATTAAACCTCAATCCTCGAACTCTCTTTTTAAGGGAAGAAAATTATATCAGAAGAAAGGAAGAATAATTATTCTCTTAATTCGGCGCATAAAATATTTGCAAACGTATGGAATTCTAAATATGATGACAAAAAAGTGCAAACGAGAAAATCACATATTCATCGTGTAAATTTACCAAAAATTTTTAAAAATAAACAAAAATATACTCGATTTATAGTCGCATTTTTAAACAGATTTTTTAGAGTGAAGGTAATAATGCAATTAAGTGTTAATTTTTTTTTTTTTATAATTTTACTAAGCAAAAGTTAAATTTGAATGTAGCGAAAATAGCGATTTTCAACGATTATTTTTCGTTTGGAATTTTTGTTGAATATTAAGGAATTTATTGTATCGCCTCGATAAATCGCGTTGTTATTCTTTGTTCAGTTGAAAGCTTAGAAATTCGGCTAATGTGTGTGAAAAGATTGCCTGCAGAAAATGGCAGATATTTAAGTGGTATTTCTTTACTTAGAAAATGTAAAAAAAAAAATTTAAAAACGCTACTAGTATATAGTAGCACAAATTTAGAGCTATTTTATTACTAAAATTAAACTTTTTAGATGAATTTGAGGCCAGCATATGAATCCATTTAAATAAAAAAAAAAATAGTTTTCGAGTTATAAGCAAAAGTTATGTTTTCTAGGATCTTTCGGTCTTGTTGCAAGAAATCTCGAGAAATGTATTGTTTTTTTTCGGAATATAATATAATATATATAATATAATTTTTTTTATTTAAATTGGTGTCATTCTCCGAACTTAGCTCAGTTTGTAGACTAATGGCCTTGGACGCTGGGGTCGTTGGATCGAGTCCCAGTGAATAAGTCTGATGAGGAGATGTGGTGATCTCCGAAACAGAAGCTACAAGTTCTACCAAAATGTAAATTGTTGTTTTTTTTAAGAAAAGTTTTTGCGAAAATTAAACGATATTAAAAAAATATATATTTTTTTAACAATAAGAACTACATATTTTAGGAAATTGAATTAAATGAGCAAAATATTAAATATTGAAAAAAATTTTAAAAAATATTTAATTAGAGCTAATTTAATAAATGTTTCTGAGTGCGGCTGTTAGTCTTTGTTTTTTTCTTTGCAATTAACCAGGGGCGTAAAACGTCCATTTCTGTTCACATATTCACTATATTCCCCCTTCACTTAGGTATTAAATGTTCAACACAGTCTTCAAAGTCTCAAAAGAAGTTTCACATCAAAAATTTGATTGACGTCTATTAGGTTACGATATCAACAATGAATAGCCGCAAATACGTAAAAAAGAAAACGTTCGATGGTGTGGTGCAAAACTCGTATAAATAGCCGTGGTTCTGAATTACCAGTTTAATCAGTCACAGTTTCTACTCCAGCGCCAAGGGTTTCATCGCAACGTGCCTCCCTGTGATAACTAAGCTCGTCAAAATCGACCTGCACTATCCATGTTGGCGCATCTATAGAACACATGATGGACAACAATTCTTCCAAGGAAGGCATTTGGATCCAATACCTATAGCTCATGAAATGCGGACTACAGCTAAGAAAGTATACTATTTCCATAGAATTATCAACGCATGAATTTGGGTTTTAGAATGCAAAAGTTGTGAAAATTCGGCAAGAAAATACTAATAAAAAAACGCTTTTTTTATACAAAAAAAAACAAAACCCTAAGCTTTATTTTTCATTTCCATTGAGTAGCAAAAATCACTACACTCGCCCCCACACATACACATATCTACAAGTACACACAATTCCACTTACCATGCTGGTCGGCACTGCCTTGAAACAAATTGCGCACGTAGTTGAAAAATCGCCGATGCAACGGTCGACGCCGATGTCGCGACATACGCCGCCCTTGTTCGACGTCATCGCCTGACTTGCTGTCACCCACGCCATCATCGCCAGCGTCACATTGTGACGCATCGATGACAATTTCAACACTGCGTTGCGCTGATTTGGACGACGCCAATTTGTTACGTTTCATCGCAGCGCTTGAAGGAACAATTAAAGCATCACTGGCACTCGCGCCGAGCCCAGCTATGCTGACTATTTGACCACTGCCACCGCACGATACATCGGTGTCCAGAGCAGCGGCAGCTGTCCCCGCCACAGCTGCTGTCGGCTGTTGCTCAATGACATGTGACGACATGGTGGAGTGGTGACTGGCGTTGGCATTGGCATTGGCATTGGCCGCGTTGCCGCGATATATTAACTCCATGTCGTTGGACATTTGACGCAGCGCATGCAGGCCAGAGTGCGCGCTACTGCTCGTGCTAATGCCTGTCGCTGTGGTTGCTGTGTGTGTGCGCTCCGTGCCGCCCACGCTGTTATGACCATTGTTGGCCATGCCGCCGGCGCTACTGCCACCGCCATTCAATCCCATGTAGTAGGCGCTGTTGGGGCGCTGCGAATGTGAATGTTGCACTTGTGGACCAGCCATAGTGTGGTGAGTGGGGTTGCGCTGTCGCCTTTAGTTTGCTTACAAACAGCAAGTGGAACACAATTTTCTTTGAGTTTTCTTTTTTGTTTTAGCAAATTTTGGTAGTTGCTGTTGAAATTTAATTAAACTAATATATTTTTGGTTTTATTAAAAGGTGCCTAACAGCTATTGATATAGGGTTTGAAACAATGGATTTTTTTTCTTGTAATTTAAGTAAAGAATTAGCTTTTCTTAATTCGAAACTTTAGGATTTAAATTTTTATAACATTTATTTATAATATATTATTGTTCTGACAATTTTTTTCAGCTTGTAGAATATTTTTTTTTTTTGGTTTACTAAATAAACTAAATCATTTTTTTTGTTGCTTTAAGCTACATTTTTGGCCTGATTTTTAACGCTGCACTGCACTTAGCTTCACTTTTGTGTATGCAGCATTGCATAGCACAGCTTAGCATAGTAGGAATTGCGTGCAACCAGCTGCTGAGAAGCTAAAAATCTGTGACGCTGTTTGTTGCAAAACATGTTTCCACATTTTTAATGGATTTTTTTGGCACCTTCTCTTTCGTCGCGACACTTTCAATTAAACTACTTTTCACATGCGCTTTCATTACCACAATTGCTTTATCACTCTTTCTACTTTCGCTTTTTTCGCAAACTCATTCATTTTTTTTTTTATTAAACTTTTCCTAATTAATTTTTACTTTTTGATTATTTAGTTGGCTCGCAATTTTTTGGCACTTATTCAACGCTCTTCTTTCTTATTGCTGCTGCTGCTGCGTCATCGCACGCCTACTTGCCGCATTGCATGGCACAATCTTTAATTAATATCGATTACATGCGTCGTTTTGTGCAGGCGTTGCGAAAACACAAGAAAACCATGAAAATTAATCGCTCAGCTGCAAAAGCGTAACATGCATCTGCGATAAACTTATTTCAATACACTTGCGCATTTCATGCGTCAGCGTTGGTAAAAACGCGTTTATGTAGCAAGTAAGTTAGTTTCATGATAATTTTTTATTTATTTATTTACTTTATTTTTTTTGTTGTTTGCGCTCGTTACAACGTTTTTTCATTCATTGCCCATGACTAGCCACTATTACTTAGCTGATATTATGCACACATTTTTTTCTTCAATTAATTCCACATTGTCAGTGACGTTCGACCAAACGCCTCCTAACAGCAGCGTCTGATGCTACTATTGCTGCTTCCAATGCATTGCTTATGACGACGCCATTGCCGCCGCTGATAACCAATAGACAGGCGTTGACGTTGTTGACCGCAACAAGTGTTTGTGCCACACAAGTGTTGTTGTTGTTGTTGTTGTTGCGATTGTTTTTAGCGCGGACGCTGCTGGCTTTTGTAAGCGGCGCAAAAAAATTGCATGCATTCATCAGCAAAGGCGGTGGCATTTTAATTTTATTTGCTAAAAATATTTAAACGACATTATTTTTTGCTTATACATACATTTATACATACATATGTACATAAATATTTAATTTTTTTTTATTTGGTTTAGTAGCTGCGTACGCTTGCTTGCACTCTTTTCATTTTAATTTTTTTATATGTGGCATATGTTAATTGGCTTATTTTAATTATTAGCACATCTGCAAGTAAAAGAGAGAAAAAAGAGAATTGCAAATAATATTTGTATGTACATAATTAGCGTAATTTTGTTTAGCGTAAAGCGTGTTGCTTTTAAAATTGTTGTGCTTTAAGGTGTGTGCAAATAAAGTTGTGATTAGAATGATAAGTTTGAAATGTAAAGTATAAAGAATCAGCGCTAGTAAAGATGAGAAAAAAAATGAAGCGCATGCCACATTTAAAATTGATTTCATGCATACAAAAAAAGCATTGTCCTTTATAATGCATAGCAGCTTATTCGGTAAATGGAAAAATATAAGTGAAAATAGACCTGGCAGAAATTCGCGGAGTTGTTCCTTTTCAAGGCATTACTAATAAGAGTAAGTGCGCCTGTGCCACACTGGAGAAGTGAATCTTACGTTACATAGGTATCTACTTTGTCTCATAACCACTATAAAAATGTATGTACAAATAAATATACATATACATATGTAGAGGGTAATGAGCAGGCAACTTTTTTCGATAGAAAAGAAAACGCCATTAATTTTAACGTGTTTTCCACTCATTCCGTTTTTTTTTGTATATTGACGAGCAAATACTATTTTCAATTAAAAACCCCAGATGCCCATTTTTTTATTTGAAGTTTGCCATTATCCAAAATGCCGACGTTTCTCAAAGACGGACAAAAAGTAGCTGACCATCGATGTCCGCCTATGGGAGCCTTCACTGTATCTGCATACCTATTTCATTGGTTCAAAATTGTGAATAAAACGTCAGGCTAGTTAATGGGGCAGTCCAAAGTGACGGATGGAACATTTTAAATCGTTATGGCTCAAACTTTTAGTAAATTCTCTTTAACCATTGATTTGACAAGTGTCAAACAGCTAACACTTGAAGACAGATGGCAGTTTAATACGAAACTGATAAAGTATAAAATTTTATTACATAATTTACACGGAAATTTAACATTTCCAAGCGTGACGGGTGGGACAACGATGACACCCGCTTCTCTGAGTTGTTGAATTCATTCCCCAATTTTAGACAAACTATAAATATTTCGTCCATGGCGGCTTTCTTGAATGTAGTTAGTAGAATGTTAAGTACCCTTTTATGCCTTAATGGCATTATTATATTTTAAAATTAAAAAAACCTTATTTTTGGCTGTGACGGGTGGAGCACCATTTTGTGACGGGTGGGACGAGTCACCTTTTAGGACACATAGTTCGTGAGTAAAATGTCCACTGCTGATTTGATGAGAATATTTATTATATTTTTAATAGGGCGACCTCATTTAAAATATAGGAAGCTTAAGAATTTGCATGTTACGTTAAAAAATACATATTTTGCATTTTTTGAACGCTTTAACTTCTTGCCATAAATTTGTTTTTCTAATAACTTTGCACATTTTTAAAGCTCATGAATTGTTATTTACCTTTAGTAGATAACGAATGCCTTGAAAACTTGATGTAAACATATTAAAGTATATATGCATTTATAACAATATAATAGAGAAAATAGTGAACAATTGATAAAAATGTATTTCTAAAGATTTGTTCTACCTGTTTTACTATTTTTACAGATTAAACACAATTTATGTAATTTATTTTTTTTATATGAGGTGTCCTCTTCGCTGGAATGGCCCTAATATAATCTTATAAGCTTAAGGTTATATTTTATCTTTTTTCTATCTTTATTCCTACTTCTTCCCTTTTCGTTCTAATATTGATAAAAATATCGATAACAAAGTCGATTAAAATATCGATAAAAAAAATCAAATATTATATCATTGACAGTATCGATAAATATGTTTATGAATATGTCAATTAATATATATATATTTTTTTATATCGATAAATATATCATTAAAAATACCAATTATTACATCGATAAAACTATCTTTAAATGTATTGATAACAATCTCGATTATTAAGTCGATAACAATATCGTTAAGTACATCGAAAACAATATCGATAAATATAACGAAAATTTCGAATTATTCTCGAAATAGAGCCAGGAGTCCCGAAAATCTCATTGCCTTTATGTTAAGATTTCTTTCTCTATCTTCATCCTTACTTTATCGATATCCTTATCCTCATCTTTTTTCTTAATATTTATCTTTATTTTTAGCTTAATGATTATCATTTTCTTCGTCTACATATTCCCCTTCACTTTTGCTTTATGTAAGTAAATAGTTTAAATCAATCTTAATCTTAATTTTTTCCTTTACCTTTACGAATTTTTGTTTTTGGTTTTGTTTTTGTTTTTGTTTTTGGTTTTGTTTTTGTTTTTGTTTTTACCTTTGCCTTTATCCTTTTATTCAATCTATGTACGTACTCACCTTAACTTTCATTCTTGTATTGGTCTTATCTAAGTCTTATTCTTTAACTTTTTATTGTCACGTTTTTGTTAAATTAATACAATGTGCATACATTTAAGAAGCAGTTACTTTCGTCCCAACCATTTCCGTGCGCAATTTCCGTTGAATATGCAACAAAAATAAGTTGTCCTGCACCTAAATAATACATATTTACTGAGTCTGTTAACTCAAGAAGTGTGCGCTGACTACTTTGAATTGGATAGGTGAACAAGTACCAATGCTCTCTGTATTACCATCGGCGAATTCGGCGTCTACAACGAAACGTTTGATCGACTTCATTGCGGTCCACTACTTAGTAGGGTGTAGCACTAGATTCCAGTATAAAAAAATACATAAGGCTACATCTACCTCCATATCAAAAATCGAAAAACCAAAGCGGTCATCATGTGATAGATGGAAGCCACGCTTGGCAACAACAGGCAGTCAGCATATTTGCTATTACACTTTTAACTCTGCTCTCTGGAAGCACTATTCTGAAACCCAAGCGAGCAATAATTCCGCTCATTACTTCATGAGCGCTGACGAAGTAGGTCAAAATTTTCAAATTTTGATTAAAAATTTTAAAGTATGCGGTTTTTCGGTTTAAAACGACTTCAAATTTTATTCTTATCTTTGCAGACCTAACGTAGAATTTATTAGGAATTTTTCATGGAACATTTTTCTTGCCTTAATTCAAAAAACTCTTCAAAAAACAAATTTGGAAATTCGTTAAAGGATTGATATGCTATAAAAAATTATTCCTCGGAAAATTTTGCTAGGAGACTAATATAAAAGTCTCTAAAAATCTATGCCAAAAAGAAATAACAGCCAAATTCAATTTTAAAAAAATTCTTTTTAGAAATTATTTAGGCCAGAACATGACAATATAAACCAATAGGCCATAAAATAATGGGAACTAACTTTTGCAAATCCCCTGGATATGTATACTTTGAGAAAATACTACCAATGTTGGGAGCAGTGTTGCCGTTTTAGCCCTTTGGTGGCTAGATTTAGCTACCACATACTTTTTTTGGCCACATAAATTTAAAATTGCCTCTACACTTTTTTTAGCTTTTTGGATAATTTATTCATACTTGGCATGAAAAAGTTGTATATACTTAATTTGATATATTTTTTTCATTTATGTAAG